CTAACCCTAACCCTAACCCTAACCCTAACCCTAACCCTAACCCTAACCCTAACCCTAACCCTAACCCTAACCCTAACCCTAACCCTAACCCCAACTCTTACCTTAACCCTAACCCTAACTCTAAGCCTAACCCCAACCCTAACCCTAACCTAACCCTAACCCTAACCCTAACCCTAACCCTAACCCTAACCCTAACCCTAACCCTAACCCTAACCCTAACCCTAACCCTAACCCTAACCCTAACCCTAACCCTAAAAAAAACTAACCCTAACCCTAACCCTAACCCTAACCCTAACCCTAACCCTAACCCTAACCCTAACCCTAACCCTAACCCTAACCCTAACCCTAACCCTAACCCTCACCCTAACCCCCCTCACCCTCACCCTCACCCTAACCCTAACCCTAACCCTAACCCTAACCCTAACCCTAACCCTAACCCTAACCCTAACCCTAACCCTCACCCTCACCCTCACCCTCTTTCCTTACTCGCATGCTGTTCACACTTTTATAAAACTCTCTAGTGTTTTCTTTGCAGTCTTTGGTCAGTTTCTCGCCATATATTTCCATGCATTTTCTTTAACAGTTTTGATTATTCATTTGGTCTCTCTTCTCGCTTTCTTGTATTCTACATAGTCCTCTTCGGTCTTCGACTTCTGCCATTTCTTAAATATCTTCTTTTTCATTTTAATTGCTTCTTTGGTTTCGTGATTCCGCCAGCATGTTGTTGTCTTTGTTTCCGCCTATTCTTTTGGTGTCACAACTGTTTTTCAGTATTTCTAACTGGGATTTTAAAAATGTTTGCCATTCGTCTTCTACGTCTTTGGTCTCAGGTGACAGCTTCTTGGTAATATCATCTTCGATTGCCTTCTTGATGTCTGGATCTTCCAATTTTCTTAGGTTGATCGTGTGTTTTTTCCTGTTCTGTTTTGTTTGCTTTACATTGCTGGTTGTGAGAGTAAGTATCACAGATCTGTGGTCCGTGTCGATGATGTAGTTTGGAACAGCTCTCGAATCTTTGGCTGTATGTCTTTGTTTTCTGCGCATCAGGATGAAATCAATTTGTGATGCATGGTTCAGTTCATTCCAACTGTACCAGATCTTGATTTGGCTTCGCCTGGGTTGGAAAAAAGGTGTTCGTAATCATCATGTCGTGCTCAGCGCATATGTTTAGTATCATTTCTCCTTTGGTGTTGCAGTCTGTATCTTTATCACTGTGGGGTCCCAAGTACTCTTCCCAGATGGTTCTTCTTTGTCCAACTCTGCCATTTAAACCTCCCAAGATAATATATCTTCTTTGTTCTTGATGGTGTTAATGTGGTCACTCAGATCTTGGATAATGATTGTCTTTCTTCTTCCGTATAGCTGTCGTTACAAGGAGCGTATGTTTGGGACGTACGTTGTGGGTTTTTTCCCACCTTCTATGAGTTTTATGCTCACTATTCTCTCTGAGATCTGGTTGATTTCATTTATTGTATCCATATTGTATGATGAAAGATACACAATGTTTGGCTCTCTCTTGTCCTTTGTTCTTTTTGCAGCATGACTTATGCGCCGTCGGTGTACTAGGCCAGTCACGGTTTCACCAGAGCCCCTTCTGCCAGCAACGTTTCGGGGTGACCCGGGTCGGCCTTCACGGCGAGAGTTTTTGGTCAGTTTCTCGCCATATATTTCCATGCGTCAGTGACATAAAGTCACACCATTCTTCACCCAGACCCAGCTATTCCCTACTTTGTCCTGTTTCCACCTCCGATTTGGACGAAGGATTGGACTTTGGGAGGCTATAATATCATATCTTAATGAACACTGATGAAATTTCTTTAAAAATCAGTCCAGATCAAGGAGGAAAAAAACAACCTCTATAAAGGAACGAGGGGGTGATGCGCGGAAGGGAAGCATGCAGCCGGTTTGGATGACGGGTTTCGACACGTGTCAAGACGGCCTGCTGAAACCGAAACGGCTACGTACGTGGCTAGTTGGGCCGGGACACTTTTTCCCCAGCGACAGGTGTCCGTTTTGGAGAGTCTCAATTAAAACATATTTCTTTTTTTTTCAAACCTCATACTTATTGGGGTAACGTATCATGTTAATTACTATTCATTAAGTAAATAAAACAAAAATTAAAAATTTTGCATGTAGCCGGTTTAGGAACAACCCTGGCGATATGTACATGTATTTCCAGTAACATGTTTCAAATCAGACATGTATACGAATGTATGAGTCTGTGTGCGTGTGTGTGTGTGTGTGTGTGTGTGTGTGCGTGTGTGTGCG